AGAGAGAGAGAGAGAGAGAGAGAGAGAGAGAGAGAGAGAGAGAGAGAGAGAGAGAGAGAGAGAGAGAGAGCTTACAAGCTTAATGTCCTCCATGCGTTCCAGCAGGAACTTGGAATAAATCTGTGTCTTGTTTAAAAGTACATCTAGAAGATCGAAATTCTTTGCATCCCCATTCTGATCAGCCGCTCTCAAAGCCTTCTCCATCTCCTCTGTGTCCTCCTTTGCCCTCTCTTCCATAAGCCGCCTCTCCTCCTCAGCCATTTGCCCAGTAACCAATGGGTCCAGTCCATTTTCTGTCATAAAGGAATCCTGTTGCCAACAACAACCATCAGAAAGCCACATATGAGATACGAACCCATCAATCTGACAAGAACGCGCAGCCAGTTCAGAATCCATCACACATGGCAGTTTTATGTCAAGAGATTCTCTAAGAGTTCAACAGGGGAGTTTAGGGTTCTGATTGTTTTTAGGGTTCTGAAGGTGGTGGTGGAGGGATGGGGGAAGCGGTTACAGGTTACGGGTAGTTAGGGTTTTACGGTTCTAAGGCTTTAGGGTTTTCGGGTTTTAGCCTTTGAGGGTTATTGACAGTGTTAGAGATTGGGGGGGAAGGGGGGAGCCGGGTAGGGGCAGGGGTAGGGGTTTAAACGTTAGGTTTTTAGGATTTGGAGCTCACAATGGCAGGACTCAAATCACACACACCTTCATCCAAACGAAACGATAAGGTTTAAACCAAGGGTTTTCACAGGTATAAAACTTTCAGGAGTTTTAGGGTTTAGGGTTTTAGGGTTTTAGATGTCAGGGTTCCAGGTTTGGAGTTGGCAATTGCAGGATTCCAATCACACACCTCTCATCCAAGTGATATGATTGGGAAATGGGCAAGGTTTTTCACAGTGTTAGAGTTTGGGAAGGGGGGGGGAGGAGAAGAGGGGTAGGGTTTAACAGTTTTTAGGGTTTGGATCTTAGGGTTTTAGTGCTTAAGAGAGATGTCACACACCTCTTCATCCAAGTGTATTGATGGTGATCCAGGTATATTTGCGTCTTTCTCCTCGTCTTCGTCCAAAAGGTTAACCACATTCTTCCCAGCTACCTCATGCCAATTGGCATGCTCTTGCACATTCGTAGTGCCACGACTTCCTTCCACAAGATGTGCAGTGTCATGATCACCCTCCCTTCTCACAGGCAAAGTGGCATGATTAGTGTCCCTTCTTACATGCACAGTGGCGTGATTGTCTTCATCTTTTGCAGATATGGCGGGGTTACCACCCTCCTCTTTCACATGTGCAGTGGCATCAGGCGACTCATCTTTCACGCGTGCAGCAGCAGTACCAACCTCTTCTTTCACACGGGCCAGGGTCCGTCTTCCCTCCTTTCCCACGTTTACAGTGCCATTACCAGCTTCGTCTTTCACTTGCACAAGAGCACTGTTGACCTTCTCTTTCACACAAATACTTGGACCGTTAGCCTCTCCTTTCACACGCACAGCGGAATGGTTGGCCTCCTCTTTCACATTGATATTCGCAAGGCCATTCTCCTTTTTAACGCACCCATTGCTGAGGTTGCGCCTACCCTGCACACTCTCACAGCAAGTTTATCAATATTCAGCTTAAGCCACCCTCCTAAAGAGCCAAAATGACCAGACAGTAAGGACCAGCATACTATCCAACCCAACATCAATTGCCACCATCCTCACTGCAACCATGTCTTCTTTTTGCAGCTTTTTTTCCTATGGACACAACGGCTCTCAAACATGCAAACAGAGGCTGAAGAGGACAACACCAAAAACAATGACGGCAATAACAACAAACCCCAACAATCATCACAAGAACACAGCAACGATGACTGTGACATGTTGGCCACGAGCTGGAAGTGGCGGTCTTCATTAACCAATCGTGCAACACCACATGATGACAACGATGATGGTGACAACAGCAACAACAACAACAATACATACTACTACTTGAAACACAGATCACTTTCTGCTTTCAAGTAGTTGGGGTCCCCGCTAACCAATCGTGTGACAGGACATGATGACAACTATGACGGTAACAACAATTACAACAACGACAAAAAATTGAAACAGAGATCACTTTCTGTTTTCAAGTAGGCCTTAAGTCTGATTCTTCATCACAGGATATGGGTGCCCAGCTTTTCCCAGAGGCACAAAATCATGACAACACATGGAGAGATTATTTCAGTTACCCCCTGCTCACCTACCTGTATAAACCTCATGCTCCCTTCTCACTGCCTTCCCGTGTACCTTCTCAGCTACCTTAGTTTTTTTTTCCACTCTACTCAGTCTACTGCTTACAACACCAAAACTTTGGACCCTTTCTTGATTTATGTGTGTCATCCTTGCGAGCAGGGGCCATGCTAATCTTCTTGGTATCATTCCAATGTTAACGGAGGTCCCGAAGGACTTCTCAACTACCTTCCTATTTACCTTCTCATTACCTTCCCATAACCTTTTCATTAACTTCTCAACTTCTGTAGCTGAAAAGTAGTCCCTTTTCACAAGTTTGCATTAATTATGGTCATCTACTTAACAACTGCGCTGCGTCAACTCGTGACGTTTGGAGGCCTTTAGTCACTAGGGACGTGAACTGGTGCTCGTCTCAACAAACAGTCGTTCATGCATGGCATACACTTCCCAGCCTTTCGACCAGTTTGGATTGTGAAGCCAGAGGCATTCCTGAGAAGGATTCCCACAGGATGTTCGCGACTTTGCTTGCTGTGCTATTCGCCCGCTGATTTAGCAGAATGTTGTGTAATGTTGCCAGTGAAGATTTCCCACATGATGTTCGCGACTTTGCTTGCTGTGCAATTCGCCCCCTGATTTAGCAGAATATTGTGTAATGTTGCCAGTGATCTCCTAACCAATTTCCCATGTTCTCTCCCTTAAAACGCCAGTTCTCCCAAACCCAAGCCAAGCTCGTAGGGAGCGCCAAAGGCCACTATGAAGAAAACAAAACAGTAAGAGGTTTGCAACCCTTGCAAGGTAGCTTCGGCAACTTACGCTCGTGTGGACTGGTGGTTTATGGACCAGAAAACCAAAAACTGTGTCACCGCAAGAAAATGTAAGCCTATCCAGATTTTTAATTTTTTCTTAACAGAAAACAGAGAGCCTATCCAAATCCTGATTTTGTTAAAAAAAAACAGAAAGAGAGAGAGAGAGAGAGAGAGAGAGAGGGGGGGGGGGAGAGAGAGAGAGAGAGAGAGAGAGAGAGAGAGAGAGAGAGAGAGAGAGAGAGAGAGAGNGAGAGAGAGAGAGAGAGAGAGAGAGAGAGAGAGAGAGAGAGAGAGAGAGAGAGAGAGACACTTGCAATAATAGACAACACGTGCGAGGTTTTACTTTCGCAGTATACACATCCTGTCCATGGCATGCGACAACTGTCGCGATTACCCTTCTACCTCACGGCTCAGGTAATCCTTTCAGCCACTGTCCCTGAATTTATACCCTATTTTCCTTATCCTTCCCTCCTACTTGTCCTCATTCCCTGCAGCGTCCTCATCATCGTTGCCTCTGAGTTTCCCGTAGTCGCGCTTTGTAATGCCCTTGTCGTCGTTGATTTCCCGTAGTCATCGATTTCTATGTTGCTGTATATAACGTCTTAACCCTGCGTACGCTCCTGTGCTAACGTCAGTTCCTATTTCTATTCCTCTTTTGGTCGGAATTTGGTCCTCATTCAGTTGCTTTCCCTTCGGCCGTATTTCTGTCGAAATTCTTCGTGTTTATATCTATCTTGGATTACTGACTTGCATCTGGCTTTGTTTGTTGCTCTTGTCCTTCGCGCGCTCGTGGATTCCATCATTATCTCTCAGGTGAGTACTTTCACTTTCCTGCCGCTTGTTTATCCTGTACTTGGAAACGTATGCTTATCCTGGGTTTCGATTCGATTCATTTCACTGCGTATGTTGGGAAATCAATACGGCAATTCTTGCATCATTATATCTGTAGATCTTACCGGTCCTTTTTGTGATGTTCAGGTGTTTCCAGTCGCATGCGCGTTGTTGTTTTTATATTTCTCTTCTCTGGATTTATATCATTTCACGATTTGTGTTTCTTCAGCTTCCAGACACTCACGGAATTTATTCCGTACTTGGGTGTCCTTGCAGTTTCTGCTGAACGCCAAAATCGTTGTGCGGGTTATCCTCCATGGGTAGTCCATCTGTCTGAGTTCTTCACAAAACAGCTTCATTATCGCGGTCAGATCTGCAACATCATACGTGCTCGCAACCATTCTGTGAAACGTGTCATTTATCGTCCGTACTTTTGTTTTCTCGGAACCAGCACTCCTGAAGTGACGCAATGTCTTGAGAAAGAGAGAGAGAGAGAGAGAGAGAGAGAGAGAGAGAGAGAGAGAGAGAGAGAGAGAGAGAGAGAGAGAGAGAGAGAGAGAGAGAGAGACTATCCAAATCTGTTTGTTTAACTGTCCACTTATTTGGAAAGTTTCTGTTAATTAAATACCAAAAATAGAGCAAGACAATTCTTGATCTTTTACAACTTCACAATCAAGGCGTTTTTTTACGGAACGGGGCGAAAATCAAATATCCATTTCTGCCCTTCAGGACATCCGTTCAAATTCGAACGATACAGAGAGGATCAGCATGGCCCCTGCACAAGGATGAAAAATAATAATAATATTAAAAAAAATCAATTTCCGGTAAAATTTTGCAAAAGCGGACCCTGATATTTGTGCCAGAGGAATGCAATTACCATTGGGATTGGTTTGCCACACAGTTAATGCAAATTCCTTATCCCCTTATAATGGACCAGTGGGGACCACCAATTTGCCGCTTATACACGCAGGTGGATAACCAGCTGCAACCATAAACAAACCGTAGCTGTAGAGAGAATGAAGGAAAGATCAGCAGAGCGGCCAATCAGCAGAGCGGCCAACCACCGAGCAGATCGACGGAAAGGAGCGATCATGCACTACTTTCAGAAACCTCCTTCATTGACCCAAAGGAAAGATCCTTCGATCCATTTATCTGCTCCACAGATCATCCACCATGAAAACAGCACAGGGATCAAAACCCACAGAATTAAAAAACAGTTAGAACTTAGAACTTCCACGTCCTTCCTTCCTCAATGCAGCGCCGCCCAGCAGGACTCTCGCGCATGCTACTCGCAGATAGCGCACAAGCAGTTCAGCAGCACTTCCACACTTCTCACGAATGAGCAATCTCCCCGAAATGTGGCTGGCCAGTCCTTATATTGACTTGGACTGAGCCTGAACTCGTCCCAGCCTCTGCTTCCTTTGGCTTGACTTGGACCCGGTACCACATGCCCACAACCTGCTTGCTTCAGAGTGTCAAGGCCCGGTACTTTCCCGAATTTTCATTGGAGTGCTGCTGCTTGGGTCTGTCAGTCCCGACTTTTCACTTGTGGGACATGACTTTTGACTGTGGAAGTGACTCTTGCCTCTGGGACACAACTTTTTGCCTGGAGAAGTGTCCTTTGCCTGTGGGATATGACTTTTCAATATGAGACGTGACTTTTGCTTATAGAATGCAACCTTTGCCTCTGGGATGTGACTCACCGGGTGCCTATTGGACTTGACTCCCAAGGCACCGGACTGTGACCTTCCTGAACTGGCCGACTTGGCCTCCCTTGGCCTGAGACCTTGATCCTGAAATTCGATTTTGGGGTCTGCATCATGGAAATTGATGGGAATGCCTTTCAAAAGTCGCAAAAAAAAAAAAAGATAGCCATCAGCATCCTGGCATACCAACCGGGCCGCCAGGGTCACCCTGTTTGACCGGGCGGCTGGGCAGTGCAAGTGCGAGGCCCTAAGCCTCGGCAAGCCCTACCGGGGCCCTGTTTCCAGCATGCATGGCCGCCCTAAGTGAAGGCGGGTCTGCGAAGTGATGAGAGGCCTATTTTTGTGTTGGTTGCAACTGGGGGAAATTTCAGGCAGATGCGCAGCGTCAGTTGGTTGAGTGAGCCCAGGCCCTGCCTGCCTTTTTCCAAATGTATCGGAGGCAGACCCTGGGCCAGACAGGGGGCAAGAACTGAAGAATGGCCGCCGGGCAGGTGGATACGTGTAACCACCCCAGGCCCTGTGAAAGATTCCCTGGGACAGGGGCTCAGACACTTGGGCCCTACCGAAAGCTTCCAGGGAGAGGCCCAGGCCAGCCAGGCAGCCCATGACTGGCAGCCACTTTCCATAAAGGAAAAGGCCTGGCCACTGGCCAGACATTCGGGCACTCGCTGCTGATGCGCAAGCGCTGCTGCGCCAGCTGCTGAAGCGAGTGCCGACGCGCTCACGGGCGAGCAGGGAAGAAGCAGGCAGCCATAGCCGGGCTGGCCTGCGCGTTGCTGGATGGGGAGCATGGTGGTCTTTGGGTGCATGTGGCATCTGTGTGGAGGATCAAGGTTGTGAGTGAGGCGAGGGACATACCTGGTGCTTGATGCGAACGGCATTGGCCGAGATCTGCTCGTAATTCGGAAAGAAGCTGTTGACGTCACCGGCGGCATTTGTATATAGGCTAGATAGGATCTGCCATCTGTGTCTGGGCGCCGAGCGCCAGATAGGGGTACAACATTGGTTCATTGGTGATGATGACATTGATGTGAGCTCTGCTGTGCTCTTATGTGGTGTAATTCGAGTTGCAATTCTGCTTTTGGTTCGAGGTCAAGACTATCTGGTTTCATATGTATGATGCCGCTTGGTTTCTGTATTTCGCTATCACTCATCTTCCTTGCACAAGGGCCAGGGAAGGGCCCAACACACACACACACAAAAAAAAAAAAGAGAGAAGAAAAGTTAGAAAAAAATATGTTATGCAGAAAAATAAACTGAACAACTTTTGCCTCAGGGTTACATCAAAATTCTTTACCATATCTTTTTTTTCCCGCGCGGACAAGTTGGCCAGGGCCACTCAGGTAGCCTAGGTCAGATCCCAATACAACGGTTGGGGTCTGCTGCCACGTTTTTTTTTTTTTTTTTCCGAGCCTGCCATGTCAGCCTCCACTAAGGTTCGGGATTTCCAGGGTCAGTGAAGCATTTCCGCCGACCAAATACTGTCCGCCCAACTGGCTATAAACGGTTTAAGCGCTTTAAACCACCACTACCTCCGATCCTGTTCTTGCCGACCCTGATTTTCACTGCGCGCTGAGTTTTGCAGATCCTGGGTCCCATTGCATTCTCTTTTCTGGTACTCCTTTGAAAAAAAAAAAAAAAAAGATCAGCGTTGCATTCAAAAAGAATAAGTAAGAACATTCCGAGGCGGGGTCACATCCACCCAAAAAAAAAGAAAAAAAAGAAAAAAAAAACGATGCAGTTATTTGGACAGAAAACCTGGTAGATACATTTTGCAGACTACAATGTGTGGGTGCGCCCTCAGTGAGGGTGTTACAGCGGCCACTGTCAGGTCCACAAAGTAAGGAGGAAAAAAAAAAATTTGAAACTCCCCTTTGGACTGGAAAGCGGGCTCCTACATTTCCAATAGTAGTAGTGTTCTCCGTGACAAACTGTCAGCAACCAGTGGGATGCGCCCTACCTCGCTGGCAGGGCGCCAAAATGAAACAAGAGAAGCAAAAAGAAACCAAAAACTAAGTAACCGAATGTAGACATAATAGTTGTTAGATGCCTTACGGGAGGTGTTAGTGTGAGCTGAACGTTCTGCAAGTCCTTCCCCTACATCAATCCAGTAGTTACATTCCGTTCTTTTTCTTTTTTTTTCCTTTGTATTCACAGGCCCACAAGCCCCAAACATTTCCCTATTGCCAAGCCTCGTTCTTTTTCTTTTTTTTTCCCCTTTGTATTCGCGGGCCCACAAGCCCCAAACATTTCCCTATTGCCAAGCCTCGTCCATACCCCCAAAAAACGCGGTGTGACGCATATTCCCGTTTTTCCCAACACTGAGAATGGCAGTGGTGGTTTAAACCGCGAGTACATGACCCCAGCCTTGCAGAAAGTTTTTTGTTGCCACAAGCAAAACTCGGAGAGGTCGTGCGGCGTGGAGCACCGTTGAAAAGAAAAAGTCGGCGGCCTCCGATGTGGTGCGGGTTTCGTGCTGACAGGTCATTATTCTTTCCAAAGGTAGGTGATTGTTTTTCGCAACCCCTCTATAGGAGGATAACTGTTTTGCTAAAAGTAGATTGCTTTCGAGGGGGCAGACTCCCCACATTACCGGTAGTTAGGGGGGAGCTGGGGGAAGACATAGGCAAAAAGGTAGGAGATTCTTTCTTTGTTTTCTGGTCCATTGTTTTACTGAATTCAACCCCTCATTGTTTTACTGAATTCAACCCCTCATACGTATTTCTGGAATTTTCGACACTTGCAATCTCAAAACCGCAGGAACAAGAAAGTCTTTGAAACTATATTTCAAGTTTCAACCTTTCTTTGCCGTTTAACAATTCATCGATTGCTTGTCAAGGTGAGATATCACGACCTCCGCTTGTTTACCATTTCGACCAAGTGAGCTTGATTTCACAGGGATAGATATAAGATACCGAACTCTTTGCTGTAATTTGCTCAAACCCAGGTTCTGTAATTTACAGTCCAGTGTCTAGGTCAATAACCCCCCAGGTGCATCTGTCATTCATGAGGCCTTTAGCAGGCCGTCCTTCGTATGCAACTGCTCCATGTAATCCACTATTCTGGGCCATAACGACTTGTGTGGTTACAATATCAATATAATGAAATAGTAAACATGCATGAAAAGAAGACCCTTTTCAGCTTGTTGGCTTTGTGAAGTATAAGATAACAAACAGGGTAGCACCCTGTGCGCATATGCGGGAGTACATGTACCGAATCCAGAGTATGCGTACGTACTAAAAAATCCAGGTTACGCGTATGTAAAAAAAAAAAAAAAAAAAAAAAAAAAACCTGAAAATAAGCTGTGTTAAACTCCGGGCCGCCCGGCAGCCCAGCCTCCGTCCGGCAGGGGTCCCGGGCGGCCCGGCCGGTTGGGTCCCCCGGTTTGGCGCCGGGCGGGCCCAGCGCATATTTGCGCGCGGGGGGGGGAAGGCCATTTTCGAAGTGGTTTGGCCCGTGGGAGCCTTCCCGCCCCCCGACGCAAATTTTTTCGACGGGCGGCCTTCGAATTCGAACGCGCAGTTCGTCGAAGAGCTGCCTGTTTTATTTTTTCGTTCACGTTGCCGCCGTCACTGCCCGCCGTCGAAGAGGTGTCCGTCGTCGCTGCCCGTCGTCGGAAAGCTGCCCCGTCGTGGTCGATATGGTCCCGACCTCCTTGCTTCCTCTTCTTCTTCTTCTTCTTCCTCTCCTCCGCCTCCACCTCCTTTCATCTTCTTCTTCTTCCTCTCCTCCTCCTTTCCTCCTCTTCTTCTTCTCCCCCTCCACCTCCTCCTCTCGTCTTCTTCTCTCGTCATCCTCCTCCTCCTCCTCCTTTCTTTTTCTTCTCTCCTCCTCCTTCCTTTTTCTTCTCTCCTCCTCCTTCTCGTCCTCCCTTCGTCTTTTTCTATCCTCCTCCTTTCTCCTCCTCCTCCTCCCTGCTTCATTGGTTTTCTTTAGTAGGCGAAGTGCCACGTGTCGGGATTTCTCTCTCTCTCTCCACTCCTCCTCCTTCGTCATTTTTTTCTTTTTTCTTTTTTCGTCAACGCCATACGAAACCAGCAGGTCCTTCTCCTCCTCCTCCTCCTCCTCCTCCCTTCATTTTCTTCTCTCCTCCTCATCCACCTCCTCCTCCTCCTCCTCCTCCTCCCTTCATTTTCTTCTCTCCTCCTCATCCACCTCCTCCTCCTCCTCCTCCTCCTCCCTTCGTTTTCTTCTCTCCTCCTGATCCAACTCCTCC